TGAAGTTCTTTTTAGAAAATTTATGAAAAAATTGTATCTTACTCCTTCAGCCTCCAAAATGTTTGAATATCAATAAGCTGTACAATATAAGCACTTAAAAAAGTAGACTGCAACTTTTAGAAAACTAAGGAAATATTTGTAAATTCCACATTATTAATATGCAAAACAATGTAAATAATTTAAATATCTTTTGTGGAATGGACATATAAATACATTTTAAAAGAATGCAATGCTATATATCAATGTCAAGAAAATAGATGAACTTTAAACTTCTGCCAAAAGACATCTGAAAACAAAAAGGTATTTAAGTTAGTGTAACCTCTAAATCTTTTTAGAGACTCACATTTAAAAGAATGTAGCAAATGACACCTTCAAGTTAATTAACACAGGTCTTAGATATACCAAAGGAGACTCCTTACTCAAATTCTTTCAGGATAACAGAAAAAAAACATACTAGGCACCAGATCAAAACTTCTATAACTCCTTTATTTCAATAATATGTGGCAACAGAAAATACCTGGCATAAGAAACCCTGGCTAAGCCCAACCATCCACCAATTCACTTCCTACCCCACAAAGCTAAATGTGGTCAAGAAAAAATATACAACCATGATGGATGGCTGACTTCACTTTGGGTGAATATCTCTGGCTCAGTGCTGCCTAGCAGTCTACCACTCTCAAGTTAATCTCTCTCTCTACCTAGATGTCAATTGCATACTTTCTCCTCTCTTCTCAAATTTCAGTACCATCTACTCCATCAGCACAGTTGGCTGCTGCCTTGTTTCCTACTCCACTTAGAAAAGTCATCAAAAGGAAACTCCCAAGTGCATCTGTGTCTACACACTCTGCCTTCACTCCTATTATTATGAATAAACAGTCTAAACCCATCCTGAAACTCATATCATTCTCTCATTCAATCTATCACTCCATTGCTCGMTCTCTCTCTCTCTCCCTCATATCAATTCTCTCCTTACTGAAACATGCTTATAATGATAGGAACATGCTTCAATTACTGCACATAGAAAATCTCAATCCCCACCTTGCCCTTTAACTACAGCCCCATTCCCTCTTCCTTTTCATCACAAATGATCTCAAAACAGGCTCCAATTCTTCTCTTCCCATTTATCCTGAAGCTCACTTTAAACAAGCTTTTGCCCCAGTGCTTCATCAAAACAATTCTGGCCAAGTTTTCCAATAACCTCCATGTAACATAATGCTAGGGTTAATTTTCAGAATTCATCTTAACAAACACAATATGTCAGCATAATTTTTACACAGCTGATTACACTCTACTCCTTCACACTTTCTTCTCATGGCTTCCAAGACACCAAAATTCCCTGAAATGCTTTCCTGTTTTCTCTACTGTTTCACTAATTATGCTTCCTCTGTTGCCTCGCTGATGATTCCTCATTATCTTGACCCTGATGGAGGGACCCAGGGCTCAGTCCTTGAACTTCTTCTCTTTTCTTTTTCCTTTTTCTCTTTCTTTTTTAAGGAAGGTAGCGGGTGGTACTGGGGATTGAACCCAGGGGAGCTTTACCAATGAGCTTTACAGGATCTCATTAAGTTGCTGAGGCTGGCCTCAAACTTGTGATCCTCTTGCCTCAACCTCCAAAATTGCTGGGATTATAGGCATGTGCCACTATGCCTGGCTTCTTCTCTTTTCTACCTATGCTGTCTAGCCGAGTAATCTCACCCAGTTTTAGCTCTAAATACCATTTATTCACTGATGACTCCTTAATTTATACCTCCAGTTTAGACCATTCCCTGAACTACCAATCCTAATATCTATAACTCTTACTTGACATTTATTCCTGGACATATAATAGGCATCTTAACACATCACAAAAATAAACTCTTAATCAGTATGGCTGACATTAAAAGTGCTCACCAAGATCTAGTTCTCTCCAGAGCATAAGAATGGTAAGGACATGTGACTTCTGCTGGCCAATCTAATGCAAATTGAAGTTCTATGTATCGCTACCAGCCTGGGCAGTGAAAAGTCTGTTCGTAATTCCCTAATATCTCTTTCTCTGTTTCTTTTTCTTTGTCTGCCCCTCTCTTATGGCAACTGAAAATGCTCCCTGTTCCATCTAGATGGTGTACCTCCAACCAGCCTCCCTTAGGGATGGCAAAAGACACTCCTACTGACCCACAAGTGGTATGTGCCATGAGAAAGAAACAAACGTATACATCTAGCCACCAAGATTTTTACATTCTTAGGGACCTCAGTATAGCCTATCCTCTCTAAGCTAATAGTCCCCAAATCTGCTTTCACGTAGTACTCTTTGTTGTATCAACAACTCCAAATTCTTCGCTGTTCAGCCAAAAACTTTGGAGTCATTCTTGATCTGTGTCTTTGTCTCACACCCCACATCCAATTTATCAGCATATCTTATGACTTTAGAATACATCCGGAATCCTATCACCTTTCACTGCCTTCACCACGACTCTGCACTTGAAAAAACAAGGGTGAGAATATGAAAAGGCAAGCCACAGACTGGAAGAAAATATTTACAGTGCATATATGTGATCAGGATTTTATCAATGCTCATCAGTACATAAATAAACCACTCAATTTAAGAAAATGAGCCAAAAATTTAATAGGCATTTTTCCAAAGAAGACATATGGATAGACAGTAAATGAACACATTAAAAGATGCTTAACATTATTAGTCACTAGGAAATACAAATAACATTAAAACTACAATGAGATAACATCATACACATCTTAGAATAGCAAAAATCAAAAAGACTGACAATATCAAGTGCTAACTAGGATGTGGAACACTGGGACTCTCATTCACTAATGGTTGGACTATAAAAGGGCATAAGCACTATGGAAATTAGTTTGGTAATTTCTTAAAAAGTTAAAAATATGTCCGAGTTAAAAGAAGGGTATTTACATATTATGGATGGAAATTGTCWACTTCAGAAGCTGTTTATAGTAGATAAAAACTACATACAGATAATTCTTCCTTAGTCAAAAGATGATCCAGCCATTCCACTCCTAGATATTCCCATGAAAAATGCAAGTATATGTCATTTAAATATTGAATGTTCATAGTTGAAAACTAGCAACTGCCCAGATGTCCATCTGCAGGTGAATGGATGAACAATTTGTGGTACATACATACAAAATACTTCTACTCAGCAATAAAAAGGTCTGGACTACTGATAGACACAATGTAGATTATCTCAAAATAATTATGCTGAGTAAATGGAAAAAAGAAAAGAAAAGGTACATTCTGTATGATTCCACCATAAAAAACAAGAAACTGTAAAATAAGCTATAGTGACAGAAAACAGATCAGGGGTTGCCTAGGGAGGAGAGGTGCTGAGAACGGCAGGAGGAAAGAATTTCAAAGGGACACAGGAAACTTTGAGGGTGTGATGGTTTGAGTATGTTCCCCAGGCAGGTGTGGTGGCCCACACCTGCAGTCCCACTTTCTTGGGAGGATAAGGCAGAAGGATCCACTGAGCCCAAGAGTTCAGGGCCAGCCTGGGCAATACAGTGAGACCTCGTCTCAAAAAACAAAAACAATAAATGAACATGTCCCCCAAAAATCATGTGTTAGAAACTTAATTTCTAATGCAACAGTGTTGGGAGGAGGGCCTAATGGGAGGTATTTTAAGTCATGAAGACTCCACCCTCAAGAACAGATGAGACCAATTATAAAAGGACTTGAGGCTATGAGTCCCTCTCTCCCTCCATCATGTTCTCTTTTGCCCTTCCACCTCCAATATGGGATGACGTAGCAAGAAGGCCCTCACCAGATGCAGGCCCCTTGGCCTTGGACTTTCCCAAGTCCAGAATCTAATCTTCATAAATTATCCAGTTTCAGGTATTCAGGTATTTCAGGTATTCTGTTATAGCAGCCCAAAATGAAGTTAAGACAGAAGGTAACAGTTATGTCTACCATGTTAATTGTGGTGATGGTTTTATAGGGGTATATGTCAAAACATGAAAATATGTTAATTTGTGGCAAATTAGTGAATAAAAATGATATTCCAACAAACCTATTATCAAAATAAAATATAGCATGTACTTTATTTTTGGAAAGAATAAAGTAAATAAAATAAAATTGGTTAAGAAACAGAATCCAAGAATGAACAGAAGTGGAAACCCATTATATCCTCCCTCAGAGAATTCTTTTTTTTTTTTTTTTGGTTGTTGTTGTTTTGTATTAGGGATTGAATACGGAGGTCTTTATCAAGGAGCTACATCCCTGATCCCTTTTATTTTCTATTTTAATACGGGGCCTCACTAAGTCGCTGAGGCTGGCTTCAAACTTGCAATCCTCCTACCACAGCTTCCCAAGCTGCTGGGATTATAGGCGGGTGCCACTGTGCCCAGCCCTCGGAGTTCTTTTCTAAATGAGAGAATATCGGTAGGAAAGGAGGAATAACCCATCACAAAGAAATATGCCTCAACATAAAGTTATAGGGGCTTTCAACCAAGGAAGAACCACCAATCACTTCTGAAATGAACAGCTGCCACCCCAATACACAAGCATGAATCTTTTGCCACAGTCTCCCAGCAGCTGAATGATTTCTTTGAATCCATCTTAGAAACCTGACCTAATTTCTCCTTTTTATGTTGTTTTTCACTTGCCATTAAACAAATTGAGCCTTTTCCCACCAATTTAATTTATTATAAATTTTGTAGGAACTAATAGCCATAGCTCTTAGTCTGTGAGTATTGTGCAGAACGTTCCTCCTTGGACTTCTCTGTCCTTGGTCGCCCGATTTCCCACTAAGGTGGAAAAATTGCCATCTCTGGTTCACCCACCTCTCTTACTTGTCTATCTCAAATCCTAAATTCCACTCAATATCACCAATTTTAGCACATCTTAATATGAATACAACCAATTCTTTCATAAGCTGCTATGGTTATGAGATTTCTGTAACATGACTGCTTTATGTTCAAAACACGGTTTTGAACAAAATAGAAGCACAGCACGCACTTATGTTTAAATCAGGTTAGCCCCCAGGACTCACCTCATTTCCACCAACTGCCTTGGTTAAAATCACTGCAGAAGACACAGGGGGAGGCATGCAACCTACTGTCTGCAAACTGAAAAATAAAAGAAAATCCAATTGTAAATAGCTTTTTTCCCCCAATTATAATAGCTTTCACTGTATTTATTCTAAAATAGCAGAACTGAGCAAATAAAAATAGGAGAATGTTTATTGATGCATATTCCCTGGTGAGTTTAGACGATTTTATATGAAGCAACATTACTTAGAAGATGCAGCAAATGTGCAGCCTCTGAGCTCTCGTTACATTCTACAAGCGAGGGTGATTTTAGTTTCATAGTTATTTAAGCTCTGATTATGMAATTCAAAACACAGCCAACTTATAGTAAATACAGTCATTGAAACATAAATAATCTCAGGTTATTTTCAGTTAAAGTAAAAATGCTCCTTAAACTTTTTTTAGAAATCTTTTAGTAAAAATAAAGCTCTAAACTACATCTGAAGTTGAAAAATATTTAATAAAACACAACTTACATTTTCAATTTCTTTCTATGAAACAGCAATTCTCAAACTTTCACCTTATAAAAGACATTTTCATGTTGTAGTGTCATTATAAAAATAGGCATGACATAATCATATGTGTTGAATTTAGATTCTATAGTGATTGTCTCATATCTGTTCTAAATTTGGTTTTTATTAAATTATGTTTATACTTACAAGATCCTAATAACAAGTCTACTCTCTTAAAGATACAAAATAAATTGCACAAGAAAATGAAATAATGAGTACTATATCTAAGTACTAAAATTAAAAAAAAAAATTCAGAATTCATATAGAATATACCTTTCTAGGGAAAAGATATAGGAGGAGCAAGGAGCTACCCTAACTAGGGGGAAACTGATGTAGGGCATAGTGGACAAAGAGCATCTGACATAAAACAAATTTTGAATCATGTGTTTATAGATGACTTTTATTGATTCTTTTAAGAATGTGTTATCTAAAATTTATGCAGTAAATTTATGTTAGCTCTGAAATAAGAAAAAAATGTTTTAGTTCCTTTTGATTAAAACATAAGAAAACTCAACTTATGGGATTTCCAACTCATTCAATTCAATATATATATATATTTTTTTTTTTTTTCCTCCCACTGTTTTTATATTTAGAGTGGCCTCTTGCTATGTTAACCCAGGCTGATCTGGAACTTCTGGGCTCACGCGACACTTCTGCATCAGGTTCCTGAATAGTTAGGGCTACAGGTACAAGCTATCACACCCAGCTTGGTCTTAGGTCTGTTTCCTAAGTGAGGTTAATGCAGTCTGTCCTATTATGAATTCCCAGCCTCTGCCCCTTCTTCAGGTTCACTAATACAAAGCATTTACCATTTGTAGTAGATCCAATTCTACACACTTGACACACATTGTCTTATCTATTCCTCTCAAGTATTATTCTCACTTTAATGAAAACTAAAGTTAAGACAGAAGGTCAATAATTTGCGCAAACTCCAAAAGCCAGCTCTCTAGAGTTAAAACTTTTATTCTGGCATCCAGGGTCAAAGATTTACTTATCTAGGACTCCTTCAGCCTTCTATTTCCCCTACCACCAATACTAGGTGAGTCCTGTAGAGCATTTTCAATCTTTTTAACTTTTTCAATCTTTTCTGTCTCCTAGTCCCTTTCCTTTAACTTACAAAGAAACAGAATTCTCCCTATCTTAAAAAACAAAAATCTTTGAATTGTATATTGAACTATATATGGAATATATGAGTAGGATACTACGTAAGAGTATCCAAAACAGAATGCATAAGATATTATTCCTGCCTTTAAGAAGATTCAATACACAAATGTAGATAACTAAAAATAAGCAAAATTAGTACTGTTGCCCCCTCAAGATCCAATYCTATATTTTTCATTGCAACTCACTGTTGGTCTTTAAAGAATACTCTACCCCCATGACCCCAAAACAATGCATTTTCCCTTAATGTCTCTGGAATTGGATTTCTTCCCCACTTCTACTAGTCTAGAAGTGATCTGAAAGTATCCTGTGATCTCCAAATCTCCAAACCAAACATCCTTTCCCTATTCGCTCTATTTACATTCTTGCTTCTCCAGGCAACTCTTATTCTTATCTTCTTAGTCACCAGCTTACTTCATCATTCTCATTTACTCATTTACCCCTTTTAAACTATTCTTTTTTTTTTTTTTTTTGCTGGCTTTCCTGCTGTCTTTTCAATCTTATTTTGAGTCCATAGAAATATTTTTAAATTTACATTTCTAGCCCTAACTACTACCACCAAATTTATAGCCAGATAGTTCCCTCAAACTAAACACATCTAATATTGAATTTACATATTTCCTTTCTTTCAGCTTTATTGAGGCATAATTCGACRAATAAAAACTGAATATATTTACATATAAAATGTTTTAAAATATGTCTACATTGTGAAATCATTTCCATAATCTAGCTAATTAACATAGGTATCACCTCACAAAGTTATCTTTGTGTGTGTTGTGCAGTGAGAATACTTAAGATCTCTCCCAAAAATTTGGCAGTACATAAAATACACTATTATTAACTATAGTCCCTGGGCTGTACAAYAGATCTCCAGAACAAATTTATATATTTTCTAAAAAATTGATTTTTTCCTGTGACTTTACCACAGGAACCAGTTTTCACCTAATGATCCAATTTGAAATTCCAGAGTTATAGGCAACTCCACTTGCTCCTTATAAATTAACCAGTCCCCACATCCTAGTTTCCATTCTTCTCCATGACTGTTGCCATCATTCTTGTTAAGATGCTTTTCATTGGATTCTAGAAACTTTCAAATSTACTGAATGCTCTCTACCTCCACACTGACCCTTCACCACTGCACAGTGAGGAGAGTGTGCTCAGAACACCTTTATTTAACAGGATCCTGAGTCTGCAACTCCCTCAAGTTAACATCCTAAGTGTGTACTCTCTGACTGGGCAGAGGAAAAAGTAAGCTAGGAGAGAGCTTTCTTGGAGTTAAACCAAGGATGTACTTTTTTAAGTCTAACTTCCCAAAGTGAGAACTATATGGTTGCTTTATTTAGCATACTGAATTGCAAGCACTATTCTTCCAATAATAAACACAGTACAGTGCTATCAGACCAATCTCCCGGAATGACCACCTTTTAGCACTATGTCTTTTCATTTTAGCACTTTTAAGAGCTCCCCGTCACTTGTAGCTTCAAACCCAAACTCCTCAGTGCAGACCTTTGCTGATGCGGTCCAGAAGAAATATTTTTATGTTTGACTTTTACTAATGTCTCATTTTTTAACTTTCTACTTTAAAGCATATACAACCCTTGCTGAACCATTTATCCTTTAGCTGGTTTTACCATTCATTTGATAAAACATAGGCGGCCCCATTTTTATTGTAAGAAACAACCATGTACATTATCCTCTGTATCCAACTAGGTTGGAAGGTCCCTGAAGACAAGGAAACCGAGTTAGTATGTCCCTATACTTTGAGTGGCCTACATGTGGCAGATACAATTGGTTCTGTGTGTGTGTGTGTGTGTGTGTGTGTGTGTGTGTGAGATGTGTGTATATGAGTGTGTGTGTGTTACTGGGGATTGAACCCAAGGGTGCTTGGCCACTGGTCCATATCCCACCCACCCCCTATTTTGTGTATTTGATTTAGAGATAGGGTCTCAATGAGTTGCTTAGGGTTTCACTAAGTTGTTGAGRTTGGCTTTGAACTCTCGATCTTCCAATCTCAGCCTCCCAAGTCACTGGGATTACAGGCCTGCACCATCATGCCCAGCAACTACAATTGGTTCTTGATGCACATATGGTGTTGCTCTAAAATGCTGCCATTTTACTTATGTGAGCTCTTATGCTTTGGGATGAATTTAATGCTCATTCTCTCAGAACTCAATCTGGCYAAAGTGGCACTCTTCACTTTCCCTCTGCTCCTAACCCAGTTAAGTAAATGACACTGCCAAATTACTCAGTGGCTTGTACCTAAAACCTAGAAGTCCTCACTACAGCCTCTCCACCCACGGGCTCTGAGAGCTCTGTTAAATTCTACCCTGTGTGCACTCACCTCTCTATCTCATGACTGCCTCACCCCTCTGGTCTCCAAACTCATCTCCTATCTTTCTCTCGGCTGCCTCTACTGCCTACTTCCCACAGAGCAGCCAGAAGAATCATTTTCAAATATAAATCAAACTCCATTTCTCCCTCATTTCAGTCCCTACAATAGCTTCCCATAGCATTTAGTATCAAGTCAGAATTCTTTATTGGGTATTTATAAGCCTCTGTATACACAGCTCGTGCCGACCTTCCCACCTCCACACTATGTTATCTCTCCTCCACATCACCATGATCTGGCCATCCTGGCTGTTCTACTGACCTTACACACACCGGGTTTATCGCTGCCTTAGAGCCTCACACATTCTGTTTTCCTTGTCTAGAACATTCTGCCCTAAGAATTCTGCAGTTCAAATTAATCACCAGCCTGCCTAACAGCTTTCAACCACATCACAGTTTGAACTCTTCTCACACCTCTCTTTTATCTTGCTCACCTATTTACTTGTTTACAGACAGTCGTTCCCCAAGTCTCCCCAACACGCAAAATGAACTGGCATGCTGCCAGTTTTGCTGTTGTTTCTCTACTATTACCTATAAAAACTCATGGCTCATAGTAGGGGCTAAAGAAGTGACTTGAATAAATAGGCGATTTTAATTGATATCCCCACATCATTTTTAAGTAGAAGGTAAAAGTATGATTACATTTTATAGACCAGGAAATTGAGGTTCAAAACTATTAAATAACTTTGCTCAAAGGCATGTTGGGGATAGGATCAGAAACCAACTTTCAGGCTCTAAGCTCAGTATTTTAGCTGTCATATTACGATTCTATAATAGGTTTAGTTTTAAATCACTTTAAAAATTCTTTAATTGTTATTTTCATCAAATATGACTTTTTAATGAAAAGGATTCTAATAAAATCTACTGTTAAYTCAACTATTACATCAAACAAAACAAAACACATGGAAAAGTAAATATTTACAGAAATGTATACATATTTTTCCCTTCTTGTACATTTTGAAAAAAAAATATTCCATCATTATCTGTATACATTTTTTAAGATACAGAATGCAAAGTTAAAGCATCCAATGGACAGCCTACATTACACACATGCACATACATCTTATGACCTCTAGTTTCTTCAATTTTTTTTTTCTCTTTAAAACTCACAAAAAGGCATATATCCTAGTATCTTTTAAGGTTTTTTTGTGTGTGTGTTGTTGATTTTTTTTTCTTTTTTTTGTACCAGGGATTGAACCCAAGGAACTTAACCACTAGAAAGCCATATACCCAGCCCTTTTTATTTTTTATTTTGAAACAGGGTCTCAGTAGGTTGCTTACAGCCTTGGCAAGTTGCTGAGGCTGGCCTTGAACTTGCGATCCTCCTGCCTCAGACTTCTGAGCTGCTGGGATTACAGGTGTGCACTATAGTGCCTGGTTTATCGTAGTATTTTAAGATTAAGCATAGGGATGTATTTTAAGATGTTATTAAACTATTTCTTATGAATCTTTTTGATGAAATACTGTTGTTTTAAAGGATGATAATGCTAATGTAAAAAAATGTTTTTATTTCCTTATAAGAAAGCACATGCCACATTAAAAGTACACCCTTCAAAAGATTTAAACGTACCCTTTTAAGAGCCATTCATTGATGGATGTGATTGATAAAAGCTGAAGAAAAAGCCATATTGCCGCTGGGAAGAAGACAAGTGTAAAGATCTGAATAAAAAGGTGCAATTTTATATGTACCAAAGCACTGGTCAGCTCCTGGAAAAGRAAGGACACAAAATAAATAAAGGTAAGAAAATTATTTCTGAAAAAGATAGCATCACAAGTTTGTCTTTAGTTCTGAATTGTTTCATAGTTTTATCCATGAGCATATCTATAAGAGACAGACCTCAAGAAAAAAAAAAAAAGGTTCTCATGATGGTTACAAAGTACTTTTATATAAAATTTCCAAAATATATTTTAACATCTTTCAAATACACAATATGGCCTAGCAATTCAGATCTGTAAAACTCTGGACCAGGMAGTATAAGCTAATCACACTACTAAAGATTTACAGATTGTTGACTCCATAAACAAATAAGCATACTTACCTACAATTAATCTTTCAAAAAAAAATCTTTGCCGGACTTATCACATTTTAATTAAGTATAATAATTAACCTCTATTCATCACATCAAATTTATAAGGCCTATCACATTTTAATTAATTAATCTCTATTCATTATACCAAATTTATAAGGCCTCAATTTGTCAAGATGTTCCTGGATCTACAAATAATAATTTCTTACACAATCGCCTCAATAATAGTCTATAATTTAAAAATGACTCCCTGTACAGTACAGTCACTGTATTCTGTAACATTTATTAAATAATAACCATAGACCATGACCTGAGCTTGTGGCTTTACATGTTATTTCCTTAATCCTCACAGCAACCCCATTAGATAGATATTATTATGCTTATTTTACTGATGAGGAAACTGAGGTTGATAGCTACTACACAGTGAAAATCAGTTATCAAATCCATTTTGGCACACTAGGGAGAAAAATGTACATTAAACATAAACAGGTACTTGTTATTGAGTCTCACAGCTAAAAAGGAATAATTAGTTCATCTCCAGAGTTCAAATATATATGCCTATTTGAATTTGTGTTATGTGATTATTCAGTTAAAATCAAACAAATTTAGAAAGTAGTAGAAAAAGTATACACCTTGAAAACAAGTAACCATGAAAACATATTCAAAGATGTCAGAAATTCACTGGTTATGGCCCTAGTTCAAGTAAGATGTTGAGGAGATCTTCAACTCAGAGACATTTGTGGTATGATAAAGAGTCGGTCAATGGAGACTCACTGACTTAAGGCCACGTTCTGATCTGTCCCATCAGCTCCTGCTATCTCCCCATGTAGAGRCACACAGCAGTTCCTATTTGATCATAAGTCATCTCTGTAGACATGTAAAAAATTTCTGGCAGTCTGGGTCTAATATAGGGTCACTGGGAAACACCAGACCTACAGAAACCACAAATGCCAAATAAATATTCTTTTTTTATTTAGAAAAAAACAGTAAAATGATTAGCTAGAATGCAACAGCTGAGGCATTTGCATCTATTTCTGATAAGAATATCAACTGGCATAACTTTTCTGGAAAGTAACTTGGAAATTTATAACAAGAYCCATAATATAATTCACATTCTTAGACCCCAAAACTTCATGTCTAGGCACTTACTCCACAAATATAAAAAATAGTAATGAATAGCTATGCACAGAGTTATCATCACAGCTATCTTTTAGACCAAAATCTAAAAACAACTTAAATAGTTAAGTCCAAAAATGGGAGAAAAATTAAATAGATCAAGTATAACCACAGTGTTATGAGCTATTAAAACGGTTGGTGAGGATGTCGGAGTATGAAATGTTACCCTACTCCACAACAGGAGTGTAAACTGGCACAGCCTATGGAGAACATTCTGGCACCTCATTCCTTCATTCATCAAATACTTGCTGAGCACATAGGACCATTCTATTAATAATAACCATATGCCATGATGATCTGAACTCGTGGCTTTATATGTTATTTTATTTAATCCTCACAGYAACCCCATTAGGTAGATATTATTATCTAAACTATACATCACAACTTAAAATGTGTATATTATTTGAGCCAGAAATTCCACTTCTAGGAATTTATCCTTCACTTATATTCCCAGTGTGGGAAATGGCATATATTTAGGCTAATCTTCACAACACATCTGTAATAGCAAAACTTTGTAAAAATACTTAAGTGTCCATCAATAGAAGAAAAGTAAAAAGTAAAATATATCATAGTGCATCCACACAATAGCACACTATTTGGCATATAAAAAGAAATAGTATTTTTGATGTGTTAATGTAAAACAACCTACAAGGTATTTTTTTTTTTTTTTTTTAGTAAAATAAGGTAAGGTACCAAACAACATAAATAATACAACTTGTACGGGGGTGGGATACACATTTATGCTTTGCATAGCCTATCTCTGGAAAAATACATACAAACTATAAAAATTGGTTGTCCCCAGAGAAAAGAACCAGATATGTGGTGRAAAGGTAAAAAGAAGACTTCTCATCCTAAATAATCTTGTACCTTTTGATTCTGAACTATGTAAATAAATCATATACTTCTCAAAGTAAATAAAATGTAAGYTATTTTATTTTCATATATAATATATAAGTGATGAAAAATTAATTAATATTATTAAATTACATGAAAAATTGTTTTACAGTGTTACATGGAAAAAATAAGGTAAGGTCATATGTRTATGCATGTTTACATATATGTCTACAAGTATGTATAMAGATATACATACATACATATAATTTTATTTTTAAAAACAAAAACTTTATTTTAAAAATATCATATATATAAAGCATTTGTAGGGCAAAGGGACTAAAAAAACACATGATATTAATAGCAGTCATTTTTAAACTTTCTAATCATTTTACAATAAATAAATGTCACTTTTTAAATCAGTAAAAAGTAATAAAACTATAGCTTAAAAATACTAACTCTCCTAACAAATAAAATTAAAAGYAACTGCAAATGTAAAAGAACAATGGAACAGTAAAGAACTCAGCAAAATGAGCCAYGATGGCCTACCATGGGCCACCAGGGGCTTCTGAAGCACAGGAAAGAACAGACAGGAAGWGTTTCTAAGGAAGATTTTTAAGACTCTCACAAAAATCCAGTGTCAAATATTTTCCATATCTTCTTCATACAATCATAAAGGTAAGAAAAGGAAACAAYGGAAAATAAAAAATAAGTAAACCCTATAAAATCCAAAATAGTATCATTCCATACATACCCACGWATAGATGGCCATACATTCAAATAAATCCCATCATGAATAATTAAAAAGGAGACCCTGCATGACATTTTGTTTATTCACATGTAAGACAGGTCAAATTCCATTAAAATAAACTTAAGGAGATACTCCACATAATGTACTGATTATGCCAGAGTCTCACTGACGGCATCAAGAAAACCAGGGCTCTGACTGGGAAGTAGAAATATTTTCATTACATACCAATTTCCCTTCTAGCCCTTATTTGACCTTTATTTGATTCCCTTTCCAAGAGTCAGCCTCATAGCTCTGGGCTTCGAACAAGCAGCATGAGCCTAAATTTTAAATTTGCTATATTTATTTTTCAGCTAAAGGGATTAAAAATTCATAATCGGTTTAGAAAAATAAAGAAAATGTATTCTGCCCTACTCTGGATCCCTTTTCAGGACCTGAGCTTCCTGCTCATCTTTGTTTCTATCCCCAGCACCAAGCATGGTGCCTTGGAGCCWCAGACACTTAAAAGGTATTTGTTTAAATGAATTGGCCCTTCCATAACCTATTGTGACATATTCTCTGAAACTGTAGGTTTGAAGTTAGCTAAATATGAAATAAATTTAAAATGGAACCTTATTTCAATATAACAAAACTTCAGAAACCATTCAACAGGTATTTCAGAAATTAGAAATCAGGGCAAGGGTTGTGGCTCATTAATGKAGCGCTTGCCTAGCACGTGCGGGGTGCTGGGTTCAATCCTCATAAAAGCACCACATAAAAATAAATAAAAATAGGCGGGTCGGGGTTACATGGCCGCAACTGCGGCAAAGCGAGAGATCTGAGCCGACACTGGGTACTGTCCGGGGGCCCCGCACTCCCTCGATGAGTCGGAGAAGTCCCGTTGTATCAGAGTAAGATGGACGGTAGCTTTGATTGTGATTGTGGTGAGCTGGAGC